TTCATTCAGAAGTGCAGATATTTCATCAAAATCTTCATCGTGGATCAACAGGCAATTTATAACACATTTTTTATACTTTTGTAAAATAAATAACTTTATTGTACACCATTCTACACATACCTCTATAAACTTTTAGTTTATACATATCCAAAGCTAGTGCGTTACCCACTGAAACTGCAATTATTCTACAAACAGACTCAGGACCCGACTATATACTGGAATGGGTCAAAAGCTTCCACTTCCCTTCCTCTTCTGCACTATTTTATGTTGGTATAAGTCATAATATACATTGATGCTGCTGATGATTCTTAGTCATTCCAAAAAAGTTTAACAATCCTCTGGACTTTGTTTCCAAGTCTGAACTCAACGCTATTTCTGACATTTGAACTGAAAAAGCTTCCTGGATAGGAAGGGTATCTTCTTCAAACTTGGAAACAAAGTCCAGTGGTTTGTCGTTATTTATTTATTTTTTGGAATATACATCGTTTGAAACTTTGAGGTACAAAATTCAAAAACTACACCTACAAGGCTTTAATATAGTGAAACCAGCTCCTCTCATTAAAGTATAACGGCTGTTTAAACCTCATCTTCACCTTCCTCTCAAACCAGTTTCCTGCTGAGACATCTGCACCAAACGATCACATGAACGACTCCCTGCTCACATGTTTGCAGGGTTGGTCGACGCCCCTTTGATTGAAGGAAAGTCATGTCAGGATGTCAGACAGACTCTTAACTGCTGACTGTTTACCGAGGATGAGCTCAACCACCTGGATGGACCATCTGGCCGAGCAGAGCCCCCCCGCTGTAAGCCAGGTTTTCACGCACTAACACATTAATACACACCTGAGCGACCGAATGCACACTGAGAAAAGTTTCTTTGGTTTCCATTAACCTTCCAGTACGACTGAACTCTAAGAAGCACTTTTGGAAGTAAATCCTGCTGCTTTCATTAAGCCTCCCAGTTACTCATTAAACCTCCACTATGAAGGATGCAGTAATTATTAATGAATCTGTGCTTCACTTGCTGCAACAAGTCAAAATGGGTTATACAAGAACGGCCCATCTGCACCGTAAAACGTTTTACTGGAAGAAATTAAACACACTGGACCCAACAAGCCTCCTCTGTGACAGGCT